AAAAAAAAAAAGCAACTGTTTAGTTTTGTTAAATTGTGATTATATTGCAAATGCAATCAATTGTCCTTCACTAGTTTTACTGATGCAGGAGCTAAAGCCTTGGCAGCTTGCAATTTGAAAGAAGCTTGAGTTAGTACTGCCAGTAGTTGGCGACAGTGTGCTGGTCACATCTGGTGCAAAAAATTACTTCAGGCTCAAAAGGGACTAAGTAGATGTTATCAGGACAAAAGGTACTGCTTAATTTAAAGATGATGGTTTGGTTTTAGGTGGGTTTTTATTTCCTATTTATGTTTTTCTTTTTAAATACTTAACCAGGCCCCTTTAAGACCATCAGCTAATAAGAAACCCTTAAGAGTAATGATGAACTACCTGGTTAGCTCTAGCTTATGTTTATTCAGTTTGCATCACATACTTTTACTTAAAAACCAAAAAAAATTATGATTTTTATGGAATTCCTTGTCTCGTCATGTCTGGAAATTTGCAATGTGTAGAAACCCTGGATGTTGTGTGGCTCCTATATTCTTTGTTTTTAAAGTCCCCAATCTGGTATTCCAGACATTGATTCCCAGAAGCTTTGTCCATGTATGTATATAACCAATATTCACAAAATTAACACAGGAGTTTCTAAACTTTGCTTTTCTCAAACAAACTCTGCTGTAACCTCAGAACCAGGAATCAGTCCGGTTTCCTTTCTCTCACTGCAGCCAATCAGAAACCATTGCTGGAGATGGAGAACGAGGAAAAGATTCGCCTGGAGGCACGTCGCCGTCTGGAGGAACAACTCAAACAGTATAGAGTTCAGAGACAAAAGGAGAGGGTGAGTGAATACTGCCACTGCTGTGGCTCTTCTTTTAATGGGATCTCTATTTGCCATTAAACCCCTTCCGCCAAGTGTTTATAGAAATATTACTGGACATATATTTAAAATGTTTTATTTATAATCAGAATAAAAAAGTTCAGTTTGACATATTCCATTACTGATTTTTAAAAACAAATTTCACATTATTATGAAAAAGATGATAAACGAGTTAACAGCTCTGTTTGCAGGGCCTCTATCTGTGTTGCACATCTAAATCCTGAAGTAATCACAGTCTCTTCTGTTAGCGAAGCCTCTGTCAGATAGCACAGAGATTTTTTTATAAATGTTTACATCTTACCACAGATTAGATCTAGACTTTCCTCTGGGCATCCTACAAAATAACTGTGATCTAAACCCTCCTATTGTTGCTCTGCTGTATGTTTGGAAAGAAAAATCTCTTTTCTAAACTGGATCTTTGCTGCTATTTTACAGCCCTGATCCTCTCCTTTCCTGTCTTTATCAGTTTAGGTGATTGATCATATCCTGGTAGGTTTACTGCTGTAATAAACGTGTCATTGTTAGACGATGACTTGAAAGGGGCTACATGAGATGTTGAAGCTTTGGGATATTGTTTCCCAGCCTGTTTGTGTCTTTTCCCTGATCTGTTCGCTGTAATCTATGGACTTCATTAATCTGCTGAGTTCTTTAAAGAACAGATGGATTTATGCTGGGATTAAAATCACACTCAGCAAGGCTATAAATGTTAATTAGGGGACTTCTGCAAGTCGTTGGCTGCAATGCATTTCTGACTTTTACCACTTTTGTTCCCTTTCAGTTATAAGCTACAGGATTAGTTTATATGTAACATAAAATCCCAACATTTTAAAAATGGTGCCCTGATGAAATGTTGATCATTTTATAAGAAGCTGTAGCTTAATTAAAATATAGGATTCAGATGAAGTTTTCTCACATTTAATGTTAAGATTAAGGGTTGTATCTATTGGTGGGAGTCATCTGAGGTGTGATTGTTTTTCTGATTTTCTCTGTTGTCCAGGCTCACCGCTCGTCTACTAAAAGCAGGCCTTCCAGTACGCTAGATCCCGAACTGATGCTCCATCCGGAGGGGCTGCCTCGAGCTAACACCGTTGCCATGACCAAGGAGTATTCTTTCCTCAGGACCAGTGTTCCACGAGGCCCCAAACTGGGAAGTCTGGGAATTCCTCCTTCCAAGGAGAAGAAATCCAGATCCTCACGTCCCAGTAAAATTCACTCTTTGGCAGACTACAAGTCTTCTGAGAGCGATGGAGGAGGAGGAGGAGGTTCTGGTGGGGGAATAACCTCAGCAGATGTCAGCCAGGGCTCCCTTCGGTCCTCCGTCAGCTCCGTGTCCATACTGTCTGAAGTCAGCACCGTGTCAGAGAGCAGCACCTGTGAGACGGACATTAAAGCGAGTTCTTCCCTTCAGCTTAATGACAGTTTGTCAGAGATTGATGGGAGTGAAGCAGGAGCCAAGCCAGGGAATGATGGAAACGAAAGCGACAGCTCTTCCTACAGCAGTGTCTCCACGAGGGGAACCTACGGCATGCTCTCCGCTGCTGTGGACAGGCAACAAGGGCCGTACACAGTGGAGGGCAGGGAGATCGCCCCGGAGGCCATGGGACAGTTCCCATCCTTACAGGAGGTGCTGCAGGCAGCGAGCGATGAGCAGCATCTGCTGGAGATGGAGCAGGAGAGAGAAGGGACAGCAGAGCCTCGCAGCCGGAGAGACAGCTTCTCCAGCAGGTGATATTCACTCCTCCAGGATTATTAATGCTGCCCTTATCAACAAGGCTGGCACCTATGCGGTTCATTTTTTTTTAACTCTTGCTAAAATGTCTTTGATTCAGTGTTTCCTTGGAGAGTTCAGTGATGGGTCACGATGAAATGCTTCAGGTGCTCAAAGAGAAAATGAGGCTTGAGGGGCAGCTGGAGTCCTTGTCATCTGAGGCCAGTCAGGTAATATGAAAATGGCACAACATGTATTTATTCTTTAAATCAATAGTTCTACTGAATACTATAAAATTCTGTTTACATTCATAGTAGTGGTGGCTCCTGATGAAAATTTTCAATCAAGTTAATTAGTAATGAGTTAATTGAAATGAATCACATTTTAATAGAAATTCAAAAAATTCAAAAACCCTTTTTCTTCCTTAACATTGAATATAGAATTCTATAACTGCAACGTTACATATTTGTATTGTTTTTAATCCAACTTTTTAGGTTATTCAACCATCAGATTAGTTAAATTGTACAATATTTTAGCTTTTTTTTTTTTTTTTTTAAAGCCCTTATATTTTATACAATATTTGTTAAAAATTACATCTATAGAAGTGTTAACAGCCCAGGAATAAAACTGCTATTTACAGTAGTTTTGTGGCTCGATTCAGCAAAGTTCAGTACTTATGGATAACCCAAAAAATTCTGAATTAAGTAATTTTAAACAATTAGTGGTTTGTTATGTTGCGAGCGTATCTGAGACTCGAGCAGAGCGCGGTTTGTGCGCGAAGAGAAGGAGTAAAGCGAGAGGAGAAAATATCTGTGCAAGAAGCATTAAATCTGAGAGAAGAAACAAAGATTTGAGAGAGAAGAGAAAATATTTGAGAGAGAGCGCATGTTTTGAGTGTAAGCATTATAAGTTTTGAGTGCAAGAAGATGAAATTCTTTTCTCAAGTTGAAATTATGTGCTCTTGCATTATGGCAGGATAATTCTCCCATATAGCTATAGCACAAAAATATATATAGCAACAGGCGTACAATATTAGTAATTTTCAGCACTGTTAGGTTATGTAACATTTCTTAAGGCGACCACGAACGCACTTCAGCCGTAGCTTAGATGTTTATACTGATTTAAGGTATTTGGTAAATACCCCTCTATTCAGAACTGGTATTCGGTTGGAACCATGATGATGTTTAAGCTTTAATATCCGCTGAGGACCAACAGCTGGGATCCTGCTGTGTGTCAGATTTACGGGTGTAAAAGAAACGACGAGTACAAAGGTTCCCACTTTGGGTTTTATCCAATTAATTGTTTCCTTTTTTTAAGGTGTTAAAATGTTTCTAATTAATTAATTAATTAATTAATCTAAATGTTCGGGTTAAAGTCTGGGCCCTACTTTATACGAACACCTCTACACATGGTTGATTCACCACCCCAAAGCAAAATAGCTTAGATTTGCTTTCAGGCCATTTGAACAAGAGTTTTCAGCAAAACACATGTTGCCTTAACACTAATGTTACCAAAGGTGAGTATTGATTAAAAAGAACCTAAAAACATCATAATAAACAGAAAAGAATAAAGAGGTACAATAAATTAAAATAATATGAAATTAAAAACAAACTTATCAGCACTGTAAAAAATAAAAATGTAAATGAGTCATTTTTACTTAAATTAAGTGCATTTTTTCTTGAATTGAGGAGGTAATTGGGATACTTTGCATATGGAACAAAACAATTTACATTTAAATAAGAAAAATAAATGCTTTGTCTTATTTCCAGTGCATATTATATAATTATCTTGTTTTAGAAGTAAAAATACTCCATTGGCAAATCATCTTATTTATCTACTAAAATTAAGGGTAAATACACTCAATGTAAGGATTTTATTACTTAACTCTAGATGGTTTTTGCAGGGAGCTTTTAACTCCCATGTTGTACTTTGTACTTGAGCCCTTTATTTTATTATTAGAAATAATCTAGACTTTTTAGTTCTCTGACCCACATAATGGCTTAAACTTCAATTTTGGAAACCAAACCCTATGGTAAACAAATTAATAGCTAAGGGGAAACTTCAGTTAATTCCATTTCCAGACCCGCACAACCATTGCACAGTAACTGTAGGGTTAAACTTTTCTATTACGTTCACCTAAAGTTAATAGTAAATAAAAAACGTTTCTGAAATTACTTCAATACTTCACAGCAAAGACATTACCCTCTGACTCTAAGCAAATTTTAGTTCCTGTTCCAGCCAATTAGATGTGAGGATTTCTATAGGAGCCGTCTTAATCCCGCCTATTGAGTTTCCTTGGTCAAATTGACAGTTTATATTCTATATATTAATGTAGATTTTGAATTAAGTTAGTTTTAAAAAAGTCATAATTTGATTATTCCATGGGTAATTTAATAGATTTACTCATTTCATGCTATATTTATTTGATGTTAAGTTTACATAAATTATTTTATTATATATTTTTTCAATTCTGTCCCCTTTAACCCTCCATACTGTATGGAACAGAAGTTAAATCTAAATAAATAAATAAAATACAATTTAATTTCCCAGTGTTTGAGTTAATGAAGTATATTTCTTTATATTATAAATTAACTTTGATGTTTCGTCAGCCTTCCTGTTAAGTAAACAGGTCTAGCTTTCCTTTTCTAGCGATCTGAAAGAACTTAAATTGTCTGTATATCTCACAAAAAAAAAAAAAAACACAGGTTCTTTATCTAAGTAAGGTTTCTAATGGTTCACTTATTGTAAAAATAATTTGTTTGCCTTTTTCTCTCTAAGAAAAACATCCAGAAGCCTGATGATGGAGCTGTGCTCAGGACAAGCTGATTGGCTATAAATTCAAAATAGACATATACCAAAAACCAATCAAACGTTTACCAAGTTATCACAGCAGTATATTTATGCCTTGTTGGCATCTGAAAAAAATTCAAAAAACATTATAAAAACACTTCATAAAAACAAAACATAATTAATTGTACAGGTTTACTTTATTTACATAAATCTTGCTCTTCTGAGGCTTTATGAAGGCAAATCTGTGAATTACATGTACCAATATAGTGTCACGAACCTAAAAAAAATAATGTACCAGTTTAATAATGGAGAAACTTTTAGTCAGCTTTATATTTTTATTTTCTGAGAATGTGTTAATTTAAGAGGAACTTTGCAAATTAACAAACATCTAGAACATCGAGAAAAAAAAACACTATAAATAATATCATATAGTGTACTATCAAGGTATATAATAATATTTTCCATGTGAATCCCAGATTGTTAATTCTTCTGTGCCTTTTCTAAAACATGCTTTAAATCAGTTCTACCTGTTTTTATCTATGCTAGGTCAGATCCTGACGTTTGAAAAAGGAGGCAGGGAAAGCAGAATAAAGTGTTAGCCTCGCTGCATGCAGTTAGCCAACCCTTGTAGCTAAACCAGGTCCTGGAAAAAGACGTTTCTTGTGCTATTTCTCTCTTTCCAATGTGTCTCTAACTTCCGCGACTCAACCTGTCAATCCCGTCTATGCTGTGATGGGAGGTGGTGAGCAAATATACTTCCTGTCACCTCAGGTCGCTGCTTAGCTGCACCCCGGGCAGTCTTGTATTGCAGAGGAGCTACTGCGCATCTACAACTTTTAACGAGAGTAAACATTCTTGCGCCCTAAGCGGAAATACATCACTAATCCCACGAAAAATTAAATAAAGCTTTACTCGTCATCAAAGATCAAATATTTATCTTGCACATCTAAACAGTATATATCAAATTTCGAAATATTTTAAATTTGAATTTAAAATTAAATTATGAGAAAAACATACTTTTTAAATTTTTTTTTATTTTATGTCTTAATCAGGGTCACTGGGTGGATGGGGCGGCACCCTAACGCCCTCTACTGGCCAGCCGCCACTGGCTGATTGTGCTTTTTTCTAGTAGATTAACTGACTAAGAATATTGAAGTTTCCAACTTAAGCTCACAGTAAAAGTAACTTCATCTGAAAGCAGTTGCAGGTTATACTTTTTAAAATAATCAGTAAATGCATATTGTACAAAGTGGCGGATCACAAGCTGAGCGTATACTTGGATGTGTCAAGTAAAGATGGATGCCACCCATTAAGTATTTTCTAGTCTGGAAATACAAGGAAGATTTGGCATGCTTGCTCTAACTTCAATCTTTTACCTCCAGGCTCTCAAAGAGAAGACGGAGCTTCAGGCCCAGCTGGCTACAGTGAACGCTCAGCTGCAAGTTAAAAAGGAAGAGGCTCAAATGAGCCAGGAGAAGCAAAGTGCTCTGACTACAGAAGTCGGCACACTGCGACAGAACTGCAGCCAGCTAGAGAAGGCCATGGTGGAGCTCCAGGGCAGCTTGGAGAGCAAGAACGCCAGTTTGACTTCTCTGAGCAATGACTTGAAAGTGTCTGAAGACCAATATAACAGGCTGATGGTGAAGGTCCAGGAGCTTCAAAACACTATGGCCTCAAGGGACAGCACAGGTGATCAACCTGAAGGGGGGCTGAAGGGAGAGGCATGTTTGGGAACTTTGTTATTTATATGTTTATGTTTTTATTGCAGTTCATGACTTGCGTCAGCAGATGGCAGGCCTTCAGGGTCAGCTTCAGCAGGTCCAGCTGGAGCGCAACACCCTGCAGAGCCGACTAAAGACCTCGCAGGCTGAGATCGACTCCTTGCAGCAGGTCAGACAGTGGTACCAGCAGCAACTTTCCCTGGCCCAGGAGGCAAGAGTGCGACTGCAAAGTGAAATGGCAAATATGCAGGTAAGATTCAGCAGAGTGGCATCAAACAAGCTGCACCTTGCCGCCCCCCTCTGACATCATTCTGTCCTCCAAAGGCCGGACAGATGAATCAGTATGGTGTCATGGAGCATTTGAAGCTGGAGAATGTGACACTTTCCCATCAACTGACTGAGACTCAACACCGTTCCATTAAAGAGAAGGAGCGCATCGCTGTGCAGCTGCAAAGCATTGAGGTAGATCCTCCAGTCATCTCCTTTAAAAGCTAATAAAACCTTATCTGGTGCCGGATTTGAACTGTTTGAATTCCCTGTCTGATGCAGGCAGACATGCTGACCCAGGAAGCCGCTTACAAGCAGATCCAGGATGCAAAAACCATGGTGGAAGATGATCTTCAGCACAAACTGGAGGAGTTAGAGGAAGAACGAGAGCACCTGATTAAACTCGCTAACACAGCCACAACCCTGGAGAGGGAACTTGAGCAGGTAGTCATTTCAAACTGCTGGGAAGCCTGTTTTTCTCCTGAGACTGCCCTCTTCTAAACTATATCTGACATGTTTCTGTTAGGTTAAGTTGACACTTTGCCAAAAGGACTTGCAGCTGCAGTCACTTCAGAAAGAACATCTGGAGTTGATGCGCCAGCTGACGACGACTCAGGAGAACCTACAAACCAAAGAGCAGTCCATCAACCAGCTGGAAGCCAGGTACCAGGAGCTGGAGGCGCAGCTGGTTGAGCTGCAGACAGAGAGCACCGCTAAGGATGACACCATTCAGTTCCTCCAGAATGAGAAAATAGTCCTGGAGGTCGCGCTGCAGGCAGCCAAGGCCGATAAGAGCCAGCTGGATGAAGGAGCCGAGCGGCTGGGAGAGGAAGTTCTGGTGGCCTCTGATATACTGGACCAGCTCAGGCAAGAAGTCCAGGTCAAAGCAAACCAGGTAAAAGACAGCACTGATGGATTTAACAATGTTTGAAAATGTTCATTTTATTCAGAAATGTTCCAACATTTCTAGGTGGAAACTCTACAACAAGAAAATAATTCCCTGAAGAAGCAAGCTCAGAAACTAAAGGATCAGTTCCAGCAGCAGAAGGTAACGCATCCTTTATCCTTCATCGCATAGATTGTCTCTTAAAATCTCATCTACTTCTCATACATTTCCCAACCGGCTGATGCTGATGATGTTGTAGGAGGATGTATTGAAAAGCCAAATGGCAGTCAGCTTCTCCGATGAATGCCTGAAGTGCCTGTTGACATGTCTGCATGAATGTAGCAACGGTTGCTTTGTTGCTCTGACAAGCCATCACATGGAGGGGAGGGGGCTTGATTGACAGGGCAACAAAAAAATCAATCTGCTTTTGTCAAAGCCTCAACCCTCACGGTTTAGATGAACCATTTTAAACTAGTTTGCTGCTGTGAAACTTCAGTGGGATGGAACGTTTTATTTATTTTTTTCCAAAGTTTTCCCACACAGGAGAACGTTTTTCCACACCAATATTTGTGAAGTGAACTACACACTTTGAATTTTACAGACGCTTCTATGATTTGTTATTGGTTATTTTTTAACTGTTCTATAACTGACATGTAGGCTGGAGTCCTGGACTTATTTTTTATTTATGTATTTTTTTGTGATCCGGTTTGAAAGTCTGCCTTATAATTAAGATTTTCACAGAAAGAGACTTACAGAATTCCCCATAGTACTGTGGTCTAACAGGGAATTACCGCTTAATTTAGGTTTTTCCTAAAAAAAGTCCTGATTTCACAAATTTTTTTTCCTAGAATGGAGAATTTGGTTTTTTGTTTCTCTATTAAATGACTATGTTTAATTAGGTGGGGAGAAAAATTCTTTTTTTCCGTCTAATTTCAGGCAGTGGGAAAAAAAATGTTTGGTTTCATTCAGTTTTACGTCCAAATACAGTTTAAAATGTACCCCAGTTCAAACAGGTGGTAGGATTCAAAACAGCAGTGGTTTCCACTAAGGAGAGACACAAACACATTGTGTTTTTGTTCTGTCTAAACCTTTAATCAGACAAAAAAAATGCCCTTTTTACAGGTGATGGTGGAAGCGTACCGTCGGGATGCCATCTCCAAGGACCAGCTCATCAGTGAGCTCAAATCCACCAAGAAACGTCTGCTGGCTGAAGTGAAGGACCTGAAGCAGGAGCTGCTGAGCATCCAGGGAGAGAAGCAGAAGGCCGAACTGGAACAGGCCCGATTGCAGAAGGAGGTAGCAAGAGTGCAAGAGCAGATGAACAGCATGGAGGCCCACCTGCAGGCCATCCAGACAGAGAGGGATCAGCTTGAAACCCAAATTCAGGTACTATCATTTATCCCGTTTTTCAGTAAATTTGTGTTTTATTGGGAGTACTTTGGTATTAAGGAGAATATTGTGTGTCCCGTCTTTGCTCAGTCTATACAGTTTGATCAAAGCCAGCTCACTGCAGTGACTCAAGAGAACGAGAGCCTGAGAAAACAGGTGGAGCAAATGGAGGCTGAAGCCAAAAAGTGAGTCATGTGCTGCTTGGAGATTTCAGGAGTTAGAAATATTCCCACAGAAATCATCTATATATACCTCAGAGCTTTATTTAGCGACACAAATACAGAATGGCTCTTATAGGATTAAAAGACAATATATGCAGAAACATCCACATTCCAGGCTGTATCGTTTGCATTTAAAACAAAACAATATATTTTCATAGAAGCATAATTCTGGCAGCAAAGCCATCTGATTAATTTCTCATGTGCATCGGAACAGGGCCATCTCAGAGCAGAAGGTCCGCATGAAGAGGCTGGGAACAGATCTGACCAGCGCTCAGAAGGAAATGAAAGCCAAACATAAAGCCTACGAGAATGCTGTCGGCATTTTGAGCAGAAGGCTCCAAGAGGCTCTGACTGAGAAGGAGACGGCAGAGGCAGAGCTGCTGAAACTCAGGGCCCAGGTATCAGATGGAGGAAACAGTCAGGCCTTACAGGTAATGTCTGTAGACTATGGATCCTTACTGTTCTTCAACATGTAACCAGACTCCCTACCTTAAAGGCTAACATTGGTGGTGGTGTCTCATAATAAAACCATTCTGTAGTGGCTACGTGGGTTCTGCTAACAGCTGAAACTTCAATCCCTGAATTGTTTCTGGGACGTGAATAAGGTTAGCAAACTGTTGAAGCATCTTTCTCTTTTATCTTTTCTTCAGGAAAAGATTGAGGCTCTGCAAGCTGAGCTGCAGAATGTGACCAAGAGCAAGACCATGTTGGAGAAGGAGCTACAGGAGGTGATCACGCTCACCTCCACCGAGCTGGAGGATTATCAGGAGAAGGTTATGGAGCTGGAGGATGAGGTGAACCAACACACCTCAGCTTTAATGATCAGCGGACTAGATTTTCTCTGACACTGAAATCCCATATTCTCCATAACCGCCTCGCACTAATCGAGAACACCTGCGCAAAGCAAAGCCTACAGCCTCCCGTTCTGCTCCGTTCTGACTTCCCTGGAGCTCAAGGAGAGCGTGCGCGATATTATTACTTAATTCATAGGAGAAAAACATGCAAAACTGAATGCTTTCTTTAATATGACGTAATTTAAACTCACTGTTGGCATCAGTCACACACGTACGTTTCTGCACAAACATTTTCTTTTTGTTGTGGGTCTTTGTAATAATTAGGATCACACATAATTGGTTTGTTCTGTATTTCAAACTCAGAATCTCTTCATCCATGCCTTGGATAAGAAGTTTCTTTTGAAGTTGTCAGATGCGCTTTTGGAAGCTGTTGTGACCAGGGGTGTAAATCACACCCATCATGGCGATTCGATTCAGTATCGATTTCCTGGCCCAACGATTCGATTATTTTCGATACGATTCGATTTTTTTTTTTTTTTTTTTTTTTTTTACACCTTACAGGCTAGACAATGTTTCAAATTTGAAATAAATCAATGAAAGCTGTAATATCCTTACGCTTTTTTTGAGAAACAACAGAAAATTACAGAAGTAGAAAAGTTGCTTTAAAAAATACTGCACAAAATCAGTGCAATGAGTGCAATGCAATACCTTGGCTCCAGATGTCCCCGCCCCCTCCACAGACGCTCCATTTTGTTAAATTGTAGCTGACTGCAAACAGTGCCGCAGACCGGAGGTCGGCTTGTTTTGTTTTTATCACCGAAATTGCGGAAAACAACTCGTGAAGTTTGACCCGCTAGAAGAGCGAGGTGCGCGAGAGTGCTGGGACCCTTTTTCCACCTGGATCTCCGCTCTTTTTGGCCCTCATGTCCCTCTGTCGTCGGACTAAACTCGCCCCCACTTCCTCACCGCCTCGGCAGTATCTAGACCCACAGCGTGTAGCACAGACCACGCTTCAATATTGAGCATAATTTAAAAATGTCTGTCAAGCTCACTGCAACACACTGCTGTCAGAGTATAACCAGGAAGCGAGGTAGGAGGGCAAAATAGGTTTAGCGCCACCGCAGCACGGGAGGGAGAATTACGCCCAGGAGCAAATGGATAAAAATAGACCGGAGGAAAAAAAAACAGGAATCGTTTCTCTTGCGGACGTATTGATGCATCGGATCGTCGGCTGTTGGATCGATGCATCGATACAAAACGATTATTATTTACACCCCTAGTTGTGACTGATTTAATGAAACTTTTGAGCATCTGGGTGTAAATTTTATATTTTGATTGAGATGAGAAATGTGCTTCCTGGTATTTTGAAATACTAATAGTTTGCTTCCAATAATTTAGCCTAATTAAACGGCCTTAGTTTTTGGGAATATATAGGAATTATGATCTAATTTGTAGTTACTGATCTGTTGTTGACATATTTTAATTTGACAACCCGGATCTTCTCGGCATTCTTTTTCCTGTTTGGTGCGATTGCAATTGCGGCTCTTGACCTGGCCGGACAAGAGTGGAGCAAAAATACCTTGGCTCCCTCCGTATTTTGATGGTGACGGATGGAGAAAACGTACGTTGATGTGAAACAGTTCTCATTGATTAACATGATTGCGCAAGTGCTGCGCAGGACGTACGTGAACGGAGCGGAGCGGTGACGGAGGATGTGGAATATGTGGGTGAGACTTGATGTTTCCGGTTGTTTTCACAGCTCCAGGAGTCGCGCTGCTTCAAGAAGCGGATCCGGAAGTTAGAAGATGCTAACAAGAAGTTAGCATTGGAGCTGGAGCATGAAAAAGGGAAGCTTGCTGGTTTATCCCAGTCCCATAATGCACTGCGGGAACACGCCAACATCTTGGAGTCTGCCTTAGCCAAGAGGGAGGCAGATCTTGTTCAGCTAAACTTGCAGGTGGACAAATAACATCTGAATCTCGATAAAGAAAATGAATGTTAGAAATTTTTCTAAAGGAACGTTGTTTCATCGTTCCACACAGGTCCAAGCTGTCCTCAAGAGGAAAGAAGAGGAGGACCAACAAATGAAGCAGTTGGTTGAAACTTTACAGCATGCTTTGGAGAAAGAGAAAACCAAAGTAAAAGACTTGAAGGAGCAGGTATGTTGGTTTGATGCTAGCAGCTAAAAATAGACCTTCAACAGGTGTGGTTGGATAAAACAGAGAGGAAACTCCTTTAGTTCACTGTGGGAATCCAGGCGTGTCCCATGGGGCTGGGTAAGGACGTCAACTTTTGAATCACGGGCAAATAAATGTTCCCTTGGAGGTTCAACATGGTGTTTCCAAATTATTTGTTAAAGTCTGACAAAGCTTTTTAAAAAGAAGACTTCTTAGAGCGTGAGTGAAAGTGGGTGGAATAGAGAAGAGCAGCATTCTCAAAATGTAGCTAAGAAATGTATAATCTTTGGTTTCCATCCTTTTATTTATTTATTTATTTTTTACCAATCATGTTACATGTTACATTTTTCAAAACTTGATGTTGTTTCCTCTGGTTTCAGTTTTTGTTGCAAGAAAGTTTGGTGAATAGAAATTTAAAAAACAAGCCGTTCAGAAATGAAATTTTTAAAAGCCTTTTGATCAAGAAAAGATTTTTGAGAATAACTTGGCTGTTTTCTCAGATTTTGTTTCTTTTTCCTTTATTTTTATTTATTTATTTTTTTTAAAGATTAAATATTTTCTTCAAATTTCTTTTTTTTCAGATTGAAAATAATTCCGATTTTTTTGACTGCAATTTTTTTTTTTTTCAATTTGTAATTTCCAAATCACTTTTTCCTGACCTCTGGTAGCTTCCCTGGGGAGTTATGAGCAAAGACACATTTCCATTCGTCTGCATGGACATTAGCAACAACATTTTTAATGGTCATTTGTTATTTTCGAATCCAGCGGCTGTGTCCTCTGAAGGCCAGATTTGTCGGCTGATCACGTCATGGTGCGGCGCCGTGGCCTCTTTGGATTCAAAGACTCTCCTTTGTATGCAGACAATTGTAGCCTTATTTTTGCCTGTTTTAAAGCACAGGCCCGCTGTGTATTCCATAGCCTTAGATATCCCATGATTCATTGCGAGTCCAAGCAAGCCCGCTGCTCTGTGCTCAGAGGAAAAAGGGAAATGCTGAGAAACAGTGGTGAATATTGTAAGAGCAGTTTATTTTAATATAAGTATGTGAATAGTTCCATCTGAAATGAATGAAAATAGTTATTTTAAATTGTTTTTGAGTCAGATATGCCATGGGTGATATTAGGTTTATTGAAAGGTTTTATCTGTCCCTGTCCAAATGGGTTTAGCTGAAATTTAAGCACCGATTCTAATATCTGTGCAGTGTGGGGATATAAATATGATATTCGCGATATTTTGCTGCTGAAGCTCCTCAAAAATGAACTTGGCACACAGAACAGTAGTGAGAAGTCAGGCATCCAATCTTTGCCTGTTTTGAGAGTCATCTGTAACGGTTGCTAGGCGACAGCTTGTGGTGAGTGAGGGGCGGTGTCAGCTGGAGAAGGCTGGACCTGTTCAAATCTACAGCCTAAACTCTTCCGGCCTCCTAATTTTCACAGCCTCCAAAGGACCCAGTCCAGGTGGGCTGGACGCCGTCAGCAAACTCGAACAGAGCAATTGAGTTTGTCATGAGTGAACGTTTGTGTAGGACTTGAAATGAAGAAAATATGATCTTTAAAAAGCAACTTGAAAACAATGTAATTCATAAGCCTGGAGCTGAAAAGAAGAGATTTGAAATGAATAAAGAAAAATCTAAAATATTAAATCTAAAAATAAAAAAAAATGTAAGGAATTTAATAAATATATATATTGAAATTAAAAATCTGAGAAAAAACTGCAAAGTTTCTCCGAAAAACTTAAAAAACTTTTTTCAAACTTTCCTTTCTGGGTTTGCAATTTTTCAAATTTCAAGTGTCAAAATGTTTTCTTTGTTTAGTAAACATATACTTAAAGCTAAATTTAATTTGAAAAAATATAGATTTAGGAAGTAATTTTCACAATATCAATTTGCCATGGCGTAGTGGCATTGGGAAGGATACAACAATCACAAGGGACATACTGGGTTTAGTATTTGGTTCATATTACATCTGAAGAACCACTAATGCAAACTCTGCCTTCTAATAACAGCTTTGACCCCTAGGATGAACATTTGTTGCCCTTAATAACCACACCTTAGGTGCTGCAGCTCACAGTGCAGCTGTGAGATTGTGAATAAGGGAAAAAACCTAAACATTCACCAACAGTCATGATCACTTTGACTTTGCAATAACTTCAGTCTTATATTGAAACAATATATTGTCATGATAAATTGTGCAGAAATTTTCAGGAAAATTGATGGTATTTATATTTTTTTGGGTCAGATGCCACAAATACAAACAGTTGGATGACTTGGACTTAGCTAAACATCTAAATTAAACAAATAAACCCAGTTATACTGCTAGCCTTTTTACATAAGAGTATCAGCCCCACTCCACTCTTCAGCTTTACTGCTCTAAAGAATCCAGACAAAAGGTAATTTTCTGGTCTTTTAAGAATCTCTAGGGTCATTTAAAAGGAGTTAATTTTTATGAGACTTTTATGTTACTTAGCATCCTGCAATGCTTTAGAGTTTTTAGAACTTATCAAACTATTCTCTTTTTCTCCCTTAGGTGGCAGCAGCAAAGGCGGAGGCAGCCCATAATAGACGGCACTACAGGGCAGCCATGCTGGAGCTGTCCGAGATTAAGAAAGACCTGCAGGCTAAAGAGGACCTGGTTAAAGCTCTGCAGAGTGAAGCTCAGAAGTTACAGTATGTGCATTTTGCTCTGACTGATGACTTCATTAGGGTTCTGTACAGTTCAGTTCTGATTTATTGTTGAATGTGTCGCACCCTGCAGGGCTCAGGATGAGCAGCACGCTCAGGATGTTTCAAGGTTCCAGCAGGAACTTGCTGAGGCTCATTCTCAGCTCCAGATCCTACGAAAACAACTTGATGAGGAACTAGCCAAGCAACCCCTCACCAACCAGGAGGTATAAACCGTCCCCATCTATATTTAAAAAAAAAACTAAAGCACTTTAATCCTCAAATTGTTTTACAGTAAAGCTAAATTTTCTGATTCTGCATTTGACACCATTATTTGGTTGCACAACCTTTCAGTTTTATAACAACTGACTCAGATTTTCTCTAACTCATCTCTTGTTGTAGATCAAATATCTCTGAGTTGCATGAATGTCTCACATTTTCTGCTGATTCAGGTTGAGGACTTGAAGTGGGAGGTGGAGCAGAGGCAGAGGGAGATAGAGGCACAGAAGCAGCAGCTAGAGATGATGGAACAGTGCCACCACAGAGAGCTGGACAACTTGCAGATTGCCCTGCAGGTAAGATTTCACTTTTTTCTGTGATATTCACAATAGTTTGCTGCATAATATTTAGCTTAAATGCATTTTGGAGTGACTGAAAAAAAATGTATTTCTTATTTTGGTCAGGAACACAAATTTTTTCTGCTGTTTTTTCACTTTTCAATTTGTGAGGTTGTTTAAAGTTTAAGTGGATGTTTCTGCATCAGAACATCAAGGTGGAGCTGGACACCGTGCAGGAAGAGCTGAGCAGCACCAGAAAGGACAAGTTCATGCTTCAGGCCAAAGTGGGGGAGCTGAGAAACAGTATGAAGACCGTCCTGCTGCAGAACCAGCAGCTCAAACAGGACCTCAAACAGAGTCGTCTCCGGAAGGTAAAGCGCAAGTGGTTTTCATATAATTCCGTGTCAGAAATGACTGAGAATGACCCTGTGATGATGTCCGAGCAGCAGCGCATGGAGATGAAGAGTGAAGGGAACCCATCGAACCCAGTAACCCCAGTTAAGATCCCAGACTGCCCGGTGCCTGCCTCCCTGCTTGATGAATTACTGAAACCGTCAACCTCTGTTAACAAGGAACCTCTTAACAACCTGCACAACTGTCTACGACAACTCAAGTAAGCTCATTCTTATCTCTAAGACTACGTCCCATGTAACGCTCGTTCCCCTTGACCTTAGTGCAGCTTTAGAACTCCAAACTTGTGTAGAATGTGTTAGGATGTTTCCATGTGTGGTCGTAGAAATAAAATGGCGCATTACCGTGATGATGACAGCATCATGATCAGAGGATGTTTTTCCTAGCAGGGACATAGAAACTGCTTAGAGGTAATAGAAGGATGAAGATAGAAGCTGCAGATGTGCAGGGAGGAGCTTCAATATCCAGCAGGACAACAACCGTTGAAATATTGTCACAGATTCTCAGTTAAAGGAGAACTGGATTTCAACTCCACATGAAATTACTTTGAACTAAATTATTTAATTAGGGCTCTGGCTGCATAGCAGCTAGAGACTAAAATAGTTAGATATACTTTGCAAAAATTAAAGGGAACACTCAAAAACGACCTGCAGTAGCCCACAAATACGCATGTTAGAAACTGACTCCATGAGGATGGAACGGGGGCCCGAACCCCACAGATGGTGTTTGTGCTCAGGGCCCAACACTGTGCAGGATGTTTAGCTTTTGCCAGAGAACACCAGGTGGGCTAATTTGCTGCTGGTGCCCTGTGCTCTTCACAGATGAAAACAAGTTCAAACTGAGCACTTGAGACGGACATGACAGAGTCTGAAGACACTGTAGAGATTGATCTACTGCCTGCAACATCCTTCAGTTTGACCGGTTTGGCAGTGGGTCAGTAATGGTGTGGCATTTCTTTTGAGCGCCGCGCAGCCCTCATGTGCTTGCCAGAGGTAGCATGACTGCTATAAGGTACTGAGATGAGATCTGCAGACCCTTGTGAAGCCATATGCTGGTGTGGTTGCCCTGGGTTCCTCCTAATGCAGGAGATTGCTAGACTTCATGAGGTTAGAGTCAGCAGTTCCTGCAAGATGAAGGCATTGAAGCTATGGACTGGCCCTCCGATTCCCTAGACCTGAATCTGATTGGGCACTATATAGTGATTAAGCCATTTTAAATGAGTGTCCGAAAGTCTAGATAAAAAAGCAGTGGACCCAACATTTCCCACAATGCACCTTGAAAAGTAGTGATCATTGTCACTACCCGATCCGTCCCCGAAGCACGATCCATCCTGCGGATGCGCGAACAGATATACATCCGGGTGGCCATAAATAATATAATTATGGTACTAAAATTACTTATTTCTATCCTTAACTCACAAAAGAATGCTAATACAAATCTTTAAAAAATGTTTTATGACTTTTGTGAGACAATCTTGATGCTTTTTAGATTTTCGTCGTTTAACTGCTTCTCTGACGTCATCAGACATGCTCAGAGCAGTCCGGCAAAACATGATTAAACCATGTTTATCTGCATTTTGTTTCTTAGCCACCAGGAGTAGCGTAGGATCCCATTTCCGGAGCAGATCGGGCAGAAACAAGTGATAAAGCATAAAGGATTTTAAGGCATTTGTTTTCTCAGGAAATACATTATTAACCTTTAACACATTATATTTTAGTACACTTACTATTTTTGGGGAGGGGAAAAGCATCATTTAGTCCTTTTTAAGAAAATAAAATCGAGGGTGACCCGAGTGTATATCTGGATGCGCAATTGAGCTGATGGCGCAAGCACAGGACGGATCGTGCTTCTGGGACGGATCGGGTAGTGAGAATCATCCATGATCACTAAACGGGCAGATATATCGCAGAATGCTTTTAGCCGAGATGTCTCCTCGCAAAGCATTCTGGGATTTGTTGTCAAAGTGGCCCGCTGTCACTACCTGACATTGGGGACAAATAACAAAGATGATGCAGGCGTTGTACGGGGGAGGCGGAGTCACGTGACCAACAGGGAGTGAAAAGTACTGATCATCTGTCCGAATGGTCAGTTAACTGAGCTTACTATATAGTCCCCGTTCTATATAGTGACTGAGGGATTTCAGCAAAAGGTTATGCTATAAAATATTGATTAAGGGGTGTTGCAATACTTCACCAGTTTTTTGTTATTTTTTTTTTTTATTGAAATACAGAAGCAGCACAAATCTGCAGTAAAGTGGCACTAAAAAAGTAGACCTCTGTGCTTCAGTTTAGAGATTAGTGGGGGATGTGACCTCTGGATGACCTGAAAAATAATCTTTTTATAATAATTTTAAGTTAACAAACCTGCACTGATAGAGCCCTCACTATTCAACCCATTTTCAAAGTTTTTTTCACATGGGTGAGGTGTCAGCTTCATGCAGCTAAGCGAAGCTCATGAGGACTGAATTGTGCTTGTGGGATGTTCATAATACACATGTTAGCATTATATAAGCTTGTGGTGAATGAAAATGGGTGACTTCGATACGGTCTTGGAACATAATACACACTTGTGGGTTACTTTTGTTAAAACCCTGACACCATACCCATGCTGTGGTTCTATTTTATGATGTTTCATCACGTAAAATACACTAATTTTAGTTGTAAAAGTGATGAAATATGATGTTTCTTTTTGTGAGAGTCTTTAAAACCTTTTCTGAGATGGTATTTTGGTATTAAAATAATCGTTTTTTTTTTTCTTTTTGCCATTAGGGAGGAGATGGACAGCCTCCAGAAGCAGATGGAGGAACACACAGTGACTGTACATGAATCAATGAATTCCTGGACAAACGCAGAGGAGGGACTGGCTCAACTGGGACTTCAAAACGATATCTCCAACTCTCCGAGCGCAGCAAAATGTGTTGTGGAAAATAATAACGAAGCAGAACAGCAGCAATCATAACTAAAGAACTTTTCTTAGAGGAAGTGGGGCAAATTATCCACAAAGGCACTTTGGAGCCCCTAGCTCCCTTTCTCTTAATAATTGCTGCCAACATTTGGCATTCCTCCCGTCAGCACACAAGTGCTTTTGCAAAGTAATACTTTCTATACCATAGCTTTATGCTTTTTTTGTTTGTTTGTTTGTTTCTGTGGTTTAAATTTGTTATGCTTTTGACACATTTATTTATTAAGACTTGATAAATTAGAATGATTCGAATTAAGTTTCCTTATGAGGACCCCCCATCTTTATTTTTTTTCTAATGGTTTCCAGTTGGGGTTGAGGTTAACCTTTTTCTGCTCCCAAATTAGCAGTTTTCTTCACTAGAATCTAATTTGTTCCCCTCCTTGTAAAATTGGTTGTATTGATGCTGCTTAATGATGCAATCATCCTTTTAAAAAGTGTTTTAGGTGACAGAAACTACAACCTGTTCTTCCATTTACTTGTGCCTGTTTACTTGTGATGTTGCCCATCTATAGTTATGAAACTAATTTGCATCAATGGTTTGTAATGAAACTGTATCACTCCTGTTCGTAAAGTTGGAAGTCATGTACAGTTGCGCTCAGATATTTTTTGATTGCCTCTTGTTAAAATGCAGTGTTTTTCAGGTAATCATATCCTTAATTTCCAACGTGTGAAAACGTTTCTCAGCTATGTTTGTCTAACATGGACTGCAGTAATTTGTATGCAAAAAAAAGCCTTAAGCAATGTTTGAAATGCTGTATAGGACTTTTTTTTTTTTTCTGAATGAGTGTTTTTCCTGGTCAGGGTGTGTGCAAGCTGATATGATATTGTATAGGTAAACTAATCCTTATTGAAGAACTGTTTATTGTAAGTAAAACACATGAAATGACTTTGCACACTAAATAATCAAAACTGACCTGTTTAAGCAACCTGTAAAAAATGTTACGTCTAAAAAAAAAAAAATAGGTGCAATTGCTTGTTTATTTTGATTGTTACATTTGGTACTTATATTTACAGAGAAAAATATAGATCCTCCAATTGATGTCGGTCAACTCAAAGGGTTATGGGAAGGTGCACTGGTTTTTCAGAGTAATATATGCCTTGTTTTTTTTATTATTAGATTGATGGAGCAAAAAATTTAAACACATCAATGCATAAGAGTTCCACTGACAAATCAAATGGGATTGTATTGTAGGGTTGTAATTGTTTCTTTCTGCATGCAGTTGTGCTGCAGCCCTTGTGTTCCTTAACTATTATTTCTTGTGTCTATGCCACTGTATTCCTGTAAAGTATAAAGGGACAAAAATATTACCGACCTATTTTAGGCATTAAGAGCAGACATACTCGGACTATACCCTTGCTGTTTGATTTGTTTAATTTTCCCAAAGACTGGAATTATTCTTGATTAAACATTGGCTGGAAAATGTCATTGCATTCATGATAAAGAAAGTTGCACTATTTACACTCCCGTGTGGTCCTGGCTCTGTGTTTTGACTTTATATTTACACGGAAAGCCGTAATTTTGTTCAGGCAGTATATTGGACGACAGCGGGTCCTGATGCTCAGCAGTTTGAAACCGTCGCGGTGAGAAGACGCCTAGCATTAGCAGCCGGGGAGAGAGGAGGAGTTGGAGGTTGGTTTGCTTCACTTAAAATATATTTTCAGGCAGCAAAGTATTCGGTTTTATCTGCGTAGATGTTTTCAAGCATGTTTAGTTTAATGTCATGGAAAAAATGGCATCTCAATCGTCAGTGGGGTGTAACAACTAGCTTGTCATGCTAGGTAGCTAATAGCGCTGGACAAACCGTAGATTGTATTAAATCACTGTAATCTCACTTTTAATTTGAATCACCTTAACAATTTAGTAATTTCCAATACCTGATATGGATTTGTTAGCACAAATCCATATCAGTCATTTTATAATTTTGTCGTTTTTATCTGTTTCCCGTATAAATCCAATACTGAGTTTCCAGCGGGTCTTGCTTTTCACCGGGCGGTGCTGCTTTCACGCCGCGAGGAAATTAAGTAAATTCAGCGACATCTTTTCCATCTTCCTCATGGTTTACTGGTTCTTAAAAACGGCCCTGACACGTATTGGTGCAGCATCTGTTTGGGTGTGGTGTTCCGATCATTTCCCCATTCGACCAAGGGTGTAACTTTGTGATGAAAATTGGTGATGGACCTACACATACTCCATCCAAACGCTTTCATTAGGTTTTTGTATTTTCAAAAAAATGAGCTCAAACATATATGTTTATTGAATGCTTTCCTATTTTTGAGGACACAAAAGAACTATATAACACTAATATTTATAGTTAGAGACATGTCTTTTTGTGCATTACTTATATAGAGCCCAAAAACATAAATTCCTTCTCCGATGCCATAATCTATATATATTATGCATCCCTAGAAGTACAATTTCAATTCCACCCATCCAGAAAAATATGGATATGCTGCATAGTATGTTTTTTTTTCTGGTAGACATATATATATATATTATTGCATGTTGCATATCCCAGTAAATCTGTTTCCCCTTTAAATCTGCAGCTGTCCCTACTTCTCTCTGGCTCTGTTTAAGAAGATTTATCAATCTCTTAACTAATATAATGATGCCAGAAACAAAATGTCAAGATCTGTAGAAGCTCTGGAGTCTGATTCTATCTATACAATAAGGAAACATGTTTTTAAGCTGTGACTGGGAGTCGTAGTCCTCTGAGAAGCCAAGCTTTTTTTAACTGGTAAAGAAGAACAAACTTTGTTTTATCAAACTTCTTGCATTATAATACTAACTTATATAAACTTAGAATCTGTTGCCATTTTTACCTGAAAAAGCTGTGCATGTCAAACAGATTTTTCAGTGGTATGATCTCTAAAAATTTTTTAACCAACCCGTCTCCTAACTTTTACTTAAACATCAAAGTAGCTGCTGATTAAATTCACTGAGTGCTGCTGTGTGTCTCTCCTCCTCCAACTATGTAGCTACTTTGTACGCAGTGAAATGCGAACGCAGATCAGATGTCTCAAAGCGACAGATCAGATGATGTTACACCGAGAGGCGGGACACGGGAGCAGCAGGAGAGAGGAAAAATAAAAACTCAAAAAAATAAACGGACTCAACGCTCTGAACACAGATGGCTGCACCCAACCTGTTACCTTTGGCTAAAGTAAATAAGCGGAAAGGGGGAAAAAGCGGAAATTATTGGTGGAGACGTGTCTACCAATAATTTCCTGTGCATTCGACAGATGCTGGACTGAGATCTTGAAGATTTGAAGGCCAAACTAGATGAACTAAAGTCATCATCCATCCTAAGTTAGTTTTTGTAGCAGGGCATTTTATCCTGTTGATGGGGGCCACATCCAGTAGGTATTGCTGTCTCCATTAAAGTGTGTAGAAATCTGTTCAACATATGCCCAGTAATGACGACCAAATGATTGATCAAAGTCCTGCACTGCCTCTGAGCACTGTGTCTTCCCTGGATAGTGGATACTTTTCTCCACAAGTTGGAAACAAAATGTTCAAACATCAGGTCACACCACCATCTTCCATTGTGGAGCTGGGTATTGATTGATTAATTAATTCAAAGTTCTGATTCTCCAGAATTAGAATAGGTTCTTTCCTAAATTAGATAGCTGGTGTTAATGTTAACTCACGTGTTTAGAATTAATTACATGACAGTGTAATTATGCAGCACATCGATTATAGTGATATATTCACATTAAACAACAAATAAATACAGCGAGAAGCGACAAGAGAAGACATCTAAGCCTAAATAAGTGCATAGATGAAGACCAGACAGGGAGGCTAAATGGATGTCCCTCCACCATCAATGGGCAGGTAGCCTTCAGTCCACAGAGCACTGAAATAGGCGTTAAAAAGTATACATTTTTGCAACTCTAAATCAATTCCCATGTTAATTTCTGGAGATTGATTCATATAATCAAAGTTTGTTATTTGAAAAAAACATTTTCCACTGTTCTTAACCTTTTATGGGGAAAGTTACTGTTTTTGATCCCTTGCATACCCAAATGGAATCCCCCTCCCATCCCTCAGTGACATCTAGAAGGACAAGATCTATATCCAGCCATTCATCAAAGATACTGCTACATGGCTGTACATCTTGACCAATTAGATGAGCACTTGAATGATATATTACCTACTGTAAATTAAGTGGGGGGTTCAATTAAAGAAAAAAAGGTAAAAAGTTAATAAGCCTAGTTAACAATTATATTTAGGTTTCTAAACTAAAAAATGTAAGTGCCAGTATCAGTATTAATGCCTCTAATGCTGCGTTCACACCGGACGCAGCGGAAGCAGCGAGTAACATTTAAAAAATATAGAATATTATGAATATTTTGATGGCAAAAATGAATGTCAATATAATAACAAGAAAATTAAAATTAGGAAAAATAACAAAAGTGCTTCTATAAGAAATTTATGAAACACTCACAGTGAAAGAAAAAAAAATGTCTTTGGTACAACATAACCTTAGTCCTTAATGCTGATTCTGACACTGACATTTACCTAGGTTATTATTTACTTACTAAATTTATAACTTTTCAATTACCGTATTTTCACGACTATAAGGCGCACTTAAACGTCTTTTTTTTCCCTCAAAATGTGCGGTGCGCCCTATGGTGCGGTGCGCCTTATGTGTGTTGTAACTGCGGACTTTTGAGACCACCTCATTGAGGAGATGATGAAAGAGTGGCTGAATGTAAGGAGACCAGGTGGGTTTTTTCCACTCATCACTATTGCTGTTATTCTGTGACTCCGTGCGTGCCCATCTCACAGCTGATGTGAAAAACATGG